AACTTAAAAGATAGTTGCTAATATCAGCCAGAAAATATTTTAACATTACGTTAAAATAGGTAAATTATTTTTCCATTGCATATATATTTAAATTGTTACTCATTGTTACAGTCAATGACTCATACAGCTGATCTCTACATCATTCGCGGTCACACTTCTTCTTCAATCTTTAAGAGGATGAACTATTCCAAGCATCATAATCTTTAATTAGTTTATGAAATCGTAGATATTAATTCGATCAGTGAAGTATGCGAAGTCTAATTGTCGCTATCCCACGGAATTATTAGATCAAAGACTTGTCCAAGTTTTTTGTTGCTTCCATTCTTCTTTCTGTCAAAGCAACAAATCTGAGTAAATCGTTCTCCTACAATTTCACTGCTAAGCTCTAAGCATAGCTCTTACAGTAGATCAGCTTGCAGATGGTGATTTGGATTGTCAAGAGCCATCTTTAGTCTTGCTTGATGTTTAATTGAGCAGTGCGATTCGATTATTAACTGACTCTTTAATTCCGAATAATGTAAAGAAAGAAATAATTAAACGGATTCGTCAATTTGGTTATGATCGATCTGAGGAATTAAATAGGCATATCAATATGATAGCAATTTTCTTTCCGAAATCAATTTATTATCATAATTAAAAATTTATTTATTTATTTATTTCAAATGGCAGGCGTTTTGATATTATTTATTTCAAATGGCAGGCGTTTTGAAAGATATCATTAGCCAATTAGCTGGCTTAGGGCTTCACAGGGGGGAGAACAGAAGAGCGATTCACAGTTGTAAAAGAGATAGACGGACACAAAGGTAGAGAAAAAGGTAAGGGGAATACTGTGGAAGGTGTCGAATATGACATATAGTGGGGTCAGAAGTCAACTGCCAGTTAATTGACTTTTTAGCCGTATGAGTATACGTTGCCCAGGGTGCACCACGTGGAGGTAAGTCTATCGCACACCCCTCATAATTAAAAATAATTATCTATTCAACATTAATCGAAAATATTGTTTCCTTTTGTTTGCATTATAGGTCATTCACCTTCTCACCCCCACCCCCCCCTCTTTAAACGCATTTCCACGTGGAATGTTGTATTATTGTTTAAACGTACAGGCCATTGATAAATTTATTAATATTGTAATAAATTTGTTTAAATGGCTGAAAAGTGTTTTCGCTCGAGGATTAATGCATTGTTACAATACCAGCCGTAGAGGGGAATTACATTGGATTATCATAAGTATTATTTTGCTGAAACATGTGTTCCAGTTATTCAAATTTGGATTAAAATTTAAACCATTTATTCGGCACTACTAAAAATGCAGTTTTTTCACAGTTAAACAAGGTTTGCAGTTTTGATTCTGGAGAAGGTAACTAGATTGTGACCTATCAAAATAATTCCAAAATGACGTATCGGCAAGGAGACCAGGTAAAGACCAAGAAGAAATAAAAAATTCATAATTGAATCAATTTTTTAACTGGACTTCAGGTATTCCATTCTGTTTTTTTCAAATTTTAAAGTTTCAATGAAACCATTTACTTTCCATGAGCTATTGTGTCAATTAAATATTTTGAAACTTTTCATTTATTCTAATTTCCTATCGACCATTCAAGAGTCATAATCACAATATCTAACATTATTTCAACATAATTTCACCTGAAAGCTTGATTTTAATGAATTGGATAATATATATTTTATTATTACGACAACGAATGTTAGCATATGTGCGGCATATGGCAAAAATACAAGCACTTATAAAATTCTGAAAAATTTAATTTGCTATTATTTAAAATTTCTTTGAAAAATTCTGTTTTTTAAGCAACAATTTCGTTTTGATACATGGGGAAGGCTGGGTAAAAATTGGTGTTTTGAAATTTATAAAATTTCAGATTATTTGTTGCTTTCTATGAGCAGAGTCTTTCAATAAAATTAAATTAATTTTAGCTATCTCAATATACTGATACAGTGCTAAGAAAGTGGAATTGGATTTGCCACTTTGGAATTTCAGGCAATTTCAATTGCGCATTATTCCATCTTGAAATCTTTCTTAATAAAAACAGAACCTATTAATCAGAAGGAAAATATTCAGATAATAACCACTCTTATATTTATCATGAGGGCATGCGACATCACAAGACACGACTAATAACTTAGAGGTGTTATGTCATGAAATCATTTTGTAGGCAGGGTGAGCGTTAAACTTACCTCTAAGTAGTGCACTCTGAAAAACTCTTACTCATACGGCAAAAAGTCTGTGATCCGGTAGTTGGCTTCTAACTACTAAGACCCGACACTATGTCATATCACGCATCTCCACAATACTCATCTTACCTTTTCTACAATTCTGCGTCTGTCTGTCTGTCCCTCTTACATCGGTAAATCACTCTTCTGTCCCTCCACTTTGATGTGTCTCCAATCTGTGAAGCCCGAAGTCAACTAAAGGGCTAATGATAATGATTAAAACACCTGGCATTTTAATTAAATGATTTTTAAGCAATCCATGACTCATTTTCCATAGTAGAGGGCAATCGCAACATTCTACATTAAAAATGTTCCTTGATCAAGAAGACAACGTCAAAATCCAATAGATTGGAATAGCAAGAGATATTCAAAGCAACACATACGCTCTATACAAAGACTTATACTACTAAAATCACAAGGCATCCAAATGGCACCTACCACGCAATTCGTTCAGGAGGGGGGAGGGGGGACAATTAGATAGATCAGTCTGCAGGGATCAATGCCTTGACGATTCGCATCAACTTGACAACAAGGTCACAAGCTTCACATTATCAAATCTGTAATTCTAGCCAAAATCAACAATGTCCAAGGGTATTCACCACGTACAAACTACTTTCTGTTAGTGATACGCTAATTTCCAGGGGGGAGTCGACGTAGGAAATCGAGCCGAGGAATCACCACCAACTACTGTCGTCTCTTCCAACACTTGTGCACCCTTAACGTAAACGCACTAATTAGACCTTCTTGATGCAAACCTCACCGAGAGTTACCAAGAGTACGAACTTCGATATATCCCTATTGATTTCAATTTTGAGGTAACCTCTTGTCCATTAATACGATTACCTGTTACCTTAAATGAATTAAGTACTGTCTCCAGTTTCATAGCTTCGCAAATTAAACTGAGCTCCATTGAGCCCTTGATTTATTTCCCTTTCTTCGGCTTGCTTATGAAATCAACCAAATTTAGTCTTCTATGCCATAATGAGTTGCAATTAGCTCTACAAAGTAGCTACAGGCCTTAGACTTCCACTCTGCATTTTAGCCTAAACTGATTTCTTTCCATTGTATTGCTTAATTGGCATTCGTGAAAGGTAAAAGAATAATGTCTTTCACAATCTAAATACGATTGATCATTTATTCCATTAAAACTGTTATTTTTCTAATCCAATGATTTGATTTCCCCAATTAATTAAGGTAAACAGAATTCGAGTACCATGAATACTTTAAGCATGCAATCGCTTGACAGGCAGGCACTTGAAATTAGTGAGGGCTTTTTTCGAGGTGCCATGTATTGAAGTCTGCGAAATTGGTGGATTTCAGCGAAAGCAATTATTATTTTAGAGGAAAATTCTTTTAGCTTTACTTACGGTAAGAAATTGTATCAGTTCCAAAACTTGGTTTTTTTCATCATAGAAGAGAATATTAATTGTTCACCTAATTTCTATATTTATTAAGAAATGCAGACAAAAATAACTTTGAATCACCTCTGATCTGAATGGCTAATATTGAAAGCCATCTGGTGTTCTAAATGGCGTAAATGGGGTGAGTTATTAGATGTTGAGGTTAACAAGTCAGCTATTAGAAATTACTAATTTTAAAGTTGGTTTCTAATGCATGAATACGCCTATGGCTGCCACGTCTCACAATGTAGTGAGTGGGTCTTTTCTGATAGCCAAATCCCACCAACGTTAAAGAAGACAAAAATCGGTTAACTGGATTCTTGGTTGTAAATTCGCCAGTTCCTGACAGACCGAATTTACCTTCCTCATTGCTGCCACGCCATCTCTTTCCCCCTCCCACCCCCGGCCCACGATTTCTTTTCCCACTCCATCCTCCTTCCATCACCCCCCCCCCCAAACTGCAATTGTTCAATACTCATTAGTCTGAAACAACACATAGTCTTCAGACTTGGTTCTTTAAGCCTAAGAAGGATTATTGTTTTCATACGAAGTAGGGAAGTGCGATAGACTTACCTCCACGTGGTGCACCCTGAGAAACGTATACTCATTCGGCATAAAAGTCTTTAAACCAGCAGTTGACTTCTAACTCAAAACTACCATGACCTCAATGTGTGCCATTTTCCACCATTTCCACAGTACTTATCTTACCTTACCTTTTTCTCTCTTACATCAGTGAATTACTCATCTGCTCCCCCACCTCTCGATCTCTTCTCACTTTGATGTTCCTCCTCTCTGTGAAACCAGTAGTCAGCTAAAGGTCTGAAGAAAAGTGTCAAAACGCCTACCATTTGAAATGAATGGATGATTTTCATGATTTTTTGACTAGTATAACTTCAGTCGAAAATTGACCTTCATTAACATTCATGTGAGGAAGAATTTACGCATAAATATGCATTTAAGGTTTAGGTAAAGTAAATACCGAAGAGTGGTTCATTAACTCATTTTTTAAATAAATCGAAAATCTGATTTTCAATAAAAAAAATTAGAAAACGATTCATAAATTTATCTAATTTATCAATGTTCTGATGACAGCTTACTACTTTGCCGAAAAAAATAATTGGTTTGATTTACACAAAAGAAAATTTAATTTCAAATCAACCAATTTTAAAGAATTCAATTATAATTTCGAATAATCTAATAGCATTAAATTAAATTAATTTCTACTTAGCGTGCCCTACTCTATATATTTGAAAATTATATATTTAAAATGGCAGCCATAAATTGCTTTCCAAGCGCCCACAGTAAATTTAGGCGAAAATATGGCTTTCATATTAAGCGTTTTAAAATGAGAAAAGGAAAAGTCACTATATTTTAGGGAAGAAATATTAATTCAATTTTCCCTTCATAGATCTCTACGCACTCACGAAACTTCGTTTTATAAGAAATCGTATCGCCATAGGATTGAAGTTTCAGCTTTTGCACTGCTATTCCCGTCTGTCGACTCAATTCTGGGACAGCTTTGTCAAGATCTGCTGAAGGATTCATAGAAATGGGTATTGTTTCTCCATTTTCTAATTGAAAATTTAAAACCACTTTTTCAAAAGCATTCTGAGGTCGAGGTGTAATGATCATTTCAGAAGGTGTATCGTTGAGACGCAATGAATCAATTCTTTCTGCTATAAATCTGTCCAAATCAGAGAGTTCGTTTTCAAAGTCACTGCTTACGCTATCACAGTGAAAAATCGGTAACCGTGGAGCTCGATTTTTAAATAATTCAGCTTCATTCGTGACAATATGGTCAACCACCTTTTCACTGTATTGATTCAATTTTAATTCGCCATTTTGATTGAAGATGCTAGGCCTTCGATGCTTGGAGATTCGGCTTATTGAATGCACATCTATAAATGGGGTACTGGTACTACTCACCAAAGTAAGACTCTCGGTTCCTGGGGATGTCAACGTAGAGCCCTGAATACGCAATACACTGTCGTGGTTAAATTTGCTTTCAGCACAATCTGGAGCTTCGTATAAGTTTTCCGTAATGTCGTCATCGGATTTGCATACTCCATCAGCCATTGATAAAGCTTTATCAACTGAAAGGCTTTGTATTTCACTCGATATCTCTTTCAACTCAAACAGAAGGTTTGAGTTGCTTTCAATTCTGTAATCTCCAAGTTTTCTATTTTCTTGCAGAATTTGACCCTTGTAGGTTAAAACTCCACTTTCAATCGTTTCTTTAAGGTTATTAATGACCTTATCTCGTAGTTCACGAATCTCAGAATCCGGTTTTAATTGAGATGTAATTACTAATTCAGGAGAAAATCGAATGTTCAGTAAGATAGGAGTAATCAGTCTTTGGCTGAGTACCACTAATACAGTACAACCGTCATATATACCACAATCTTTTATAGTTAATTCGTCTTCCAGGAAGAATCCATTAAAAATGAGGATCACACCCTTTGAGCCGATGGAGCATCGTTGACAGGCCTCCTGTCGTAAGTGATAGACAAGACAGGTTGGCTCCAATTCCACAATGCCAAGGTCGTGTTTAAGGGATTCCAATTTGATATGCATGCTGAAAAATATCAACAATGTTAATCACAAGAAAGAGACCTTATATTATGCCAGAACATGGGATAAATTTATATTCCCTTCTAATTGAATGACGAAACCACTTTCTGCTCATTAAGAAAGAGAACACTACAAGGTATAATTATATTAAGTCATTCAGCTGCATGATATTAGCCAATTGTTTGAGAGGGTGAGAGAGAGAGTTGATACGAAAGAGGAAACTAGAGAAGATCTTCAAGTTTGAAAGGAAGTAGAGCCAAGTTTCAAATTATTATGAATAATTGAAAACGTTAGGTGATTATTTGATAATGAAAATTATGCAAATGTCCGAAAATTCCATTAAAATAATACACAAAATATTGCCTATCAAAAATGACACTGCAACTACTTGCTCTGCTAATATTGAAAGATAGTCAATCAGAAATTTCACTCCTCAATCCAATTACTATGCACTATTTCACTAATGGTGTAATTGATGAGCTCTGATGACAGTGTGCATTACCTCGCTCATGGGGATATTTGATTTAATATAAGTCAAAATGAGGGCTTTGTCGAATTTATATTTCAGTTTGGTAGGGAAGAGAAGAATCTGGAATTCCAAGTTTCTTTCCGTTTATTACTTAGTTTATGTTGATTAAACCTGAGGACATTATTCCTTCAATTATTTTATATCTTATCTACCGGGTTGCACGATAGACTTACCTCCACGTGGTGCACCCTGAGAAACGTATACTCATACGGGAAAAGTCTATAAACCGACAGTTTACTTCTGACTTCAAACTACCATGACTCGACCGTATGCCATATCCTACGACTTTCACGATACCCATCTTACCTTTTCTCTGCCTCAGTGTCTGTCTGTCTCTTTTCTATCTGTGTGTCAATCTTCTGTTCCCCTTCTCAACTTGTTCTGTTTTTGATGTTCCTCTCCTCTGTGAAACCCGAAGTCGGTTCAATGGCTAATAAAGACTATCATAAAGTCTGACATTTTAAATAAGTGGTTTCTTTATCAGATATGTTACCGCCTTGGAAAAGGAATGTCACGAATCATAAGCTAACCCCCACATTAACTTCATTAAAATGGTGTACCAAGTACATTAATTTACAACTTTATAAAACCAAAACTAATTGGCAAATAAGATACATGCCTTTCAAATTCTCGTTTGTTGGAGAAAGGATTTGCGATGCATTATCTTCTCTGCAATTTCTCCTTTATAATGTAATATTTGAACCAAAAGACTATATTTGTGGAATATTTCCTCTTCAGTTCATTTATAACGCCGTTAATTCGTAAGAATTATTTAAAATTTACACATCCATCAAATTGAAAATAACGATGATTAGTTGTGCGACTAATTTATGTTTGATTTGAATAACCAGATATATTGTAGTTGTGGGTAATTTATTCGAAAACGAAACCTACATATGCACAAATTGCTTGCTATTTACTGAACAAGGGTGCTCGGATTGGATAGAAGAACCTTAAACCAGACCGCGATATGGACTATAATTTCATCTAAAACCTTCCTTTGAGTAATCCGATTCCATGAAAAAGTAAAATGCAACCTGCATTTATTTATTTTAAAATGGCGGACTTTATGATAGTCTTCATAAGCCTTTGAACTGACTTCGCGTTTCAAAGAGGGGAGAAAAAGTAGAGAGGGAGAACAGAAGAATGACTCACAGATAGAAAATAGACAGACAGACACTGAGGCAGATAAAAGGTAAGATGAGTACCGTTTAAGTGGTAGGATATGGCATACAGTCGAGTCATGGTAGTTTGAAGTCGGTTTGTAGACTTTTTCGGTATTGATATACGTTTCCCAGAGAGCACCACGTGGAGGTAAATCTATCCCACACCCCATGGCAACCAACATAGAGTCACAACTAAAGTAAACTGATCAAGACGCTATAGGAATTTTGACTTGATCGGGTCGTCTTGGACAAAACCATCAATTATGTTGATTCAAACCTCTAATACTGCAAATCTTCTTCTTTAGAGAATCGAAGCATAAACGATTAAACTAGAAGCTGCAAACTCAGATCGAATGGGATTAGCAAAGAAGAAAGTTAGGCTCTTTCACTACAGACTTGACCACTATTTTTCTCCTTCGTGCAAACAAAGGCCAATTACCAATTGTCTTAAATCGTCCAGAGGATGAGATTTTTCAAATGTCAACCTCAGTATGGAGGTATAATTTTGTGCGAATAACCTTAACATAAAATCGCTTAAAAGAATTTATTCCAAATTTTCCTATGGGCTAAATTTCCATATCCTTTACCACTCCTGAGCAACTGTGCCCGATAGGGGAACTTTACGCCAATCTCACAGCGAACACTTGTACATCATGCAATAGTCACATAACTGCTTACTCTGCCGAGATTGTATATTAGGCTTTTAGCACTAACATAACGTAATTACAACTAATTCAAAACCAAGGCCATTTATGTTAATGTCTACTGATTAAACAAGGTGGGTATGTTCGGCCTGCAGACTTGTTGCTATATCGGACAATCTTTGAATACATTTTTGCTATATTTACTTTTGAGGGGTGTGCGATAGACTTATCTCTACGTAGTGCACCCTGCGCAACATATACTCATAAGGCGAAAAAAATCTATTAACTGGCAGTTGACTCAGACATCAAACTACCATCACCCCACTGTATGTCACATACTACTACTTCACAGTACTCACCTCACGTTTTCTCCCTACCTTTGTGTCAGTCTCTTTTTCATCTCTGGAACACTCTTCTTCCCAACCCTCCATCTCGAATTTTTTTTCCGTTTGATATTCCTTCCCCTCTGTGAAGCCTGAAGTCAGCTAAAGAGCTAACAATAACCATCTAAACTCCTGCTATTTGATATAATTAAATATTTGCATTAGAAACTATTATGCATATTGAAAAAAAATTGATAAAGCAGATTAAAATGTTTAACTTTTTAAATAAATTCTCTAATAATTAATAACTCGGCTAGAAAATCGTATCAATGGTACTAGTTCGGAATATAATGCCTTTTAGGCAACCTGAAGGTTAAAGATTTCGGCATAAAATCATGGCTTTCAGGAAGAGTTGATATAATTATTTTCTGCTTATCTTTAACGCTTCAGTTATTTGAAGTGGTTAAGCTCTAGAGGCAACAGAATGAAAATTAAGTTACTTATCATTCGGAAACCAGTTTCTTCACTAGAATGAGCAAATTCTAGCTTACACGTTGAATTTACTAATATTAGAAGATTTTGTGGATAAGTCATTTCCAAGGTTTGAGTTGAGAAGGTTTACTTTACCATAATTCACGATTTGTACCAAGTTCGAACCCATCTAGCATAACTCAACTCAAAGCACGCAGTTTAAAGTGTCTGTCACACTTCGACTGTTTTCCTGGAAATAAAGTAAGGAAGTACATAATAATCTAAAGCAACTTTTGAGGTAATCAAAAATGGCTTTTGGTTACATAAATCGTTCCTATAAATCGCTCGTCTTGGTAAGACATTTCTTTGCTCTGACCAATCACTGCCCTCATAATATTGACCAAAAGAAATACTTAAGTCACGTTTATGATTACTTTAGATTACGAACTGGAAAATAAATATATGACCAAATTAATATGTTTCCCACGGTATGTATTAATTCTATAATGTTCTCAAAGCTAATTTTTTAGATAGCAGAAATATATCGATTATTTAAAAGCTAAGAAAATCGGGAATTAATCCCGCAATGAGATTTGTAGTCATTTTTAAATTAAATCACAAAAGCCTGCCATTTGAAAAAATAATAATTTTTAAATTAAACAGAAATATTTTCTCATATCCACAATTTCTTCCAAACGTCTGACCTCTCCAAATTCAAATTCATTATTATTGTGAGGTTAAAAAGCATCTAATTTCATTATTTCCTGTTTCACCTTTGCGTTATTTATTGCTCAATTCGGAATTGAATAAAGGCAAATTTCACAAATTTCTTAGTGATGTTTAAATTCTTACTTAGTATATTTAAGTAGCAATACATTTTGGAATCTAGATTCTGAGCTAATTTATGATCGCTTTCCTTTAAAAAAACTAACCTATTATACATGTCCCGAGAAAAGAATGATTTGATATCTAATTAGTAATATGTTAGAAAAAATCATGAGGAGGTAGGCAAATTTTTTTTTTCTCTTGGTATGATCTTTATATTTCTTAATAAAATGCTCGAATTCGCATTTTGTCGAATCTTTCAGTGGGTCGTATTACCCCGAAGACAAAAGAACACTCTCAAGAGTCCAAAACTTGGAACTGCGCTTAAACATGAGTGCTGAGTACACCAAGTTGTCCACTCTCTCTTAGAGGATGCATTTTTAAGATTTCTATTTCAATTTTTATGTGCTAATTTCATCTCCATCTCTTGTGAATGAGTGTATGTCCATGATACCAATTGAATTAATTAATTGGTTGACTATTTCATTCCAGTATATTATAATCTCCTTACAATCAAAAGCCAGGTGGATTAGGCAACTAGCAATTGATTGTAGAGCTAATGCCAAGGAATCGAAGAAATACAAAAATGAGAATATGGGCCCAAAGGAAATGAAAGTAAACTGTAGCAATGGAAACAAGAAGCTCTTGATGATTAACGTTTGATGAATATTGATTGATATCTCTGAGATTCTTTGAACTGACTGAAGTTATCATCGTCTAAATACCTATTTATTATTGAAAATTGTGTGCTCATTGTGCATTGGAATAAAACAGCGCACAGTTCTATAAGGGCTGCAGACTGTAATAGTAAAAATGGTGCGACAGGTCAACCAATTTTAGTTCAGACTTTAGCAACATGTGATGGCAATTAACGAAATTGGATCAACTTTATACCTACTTTGGTCGATGTAGGGTCATGTGCACCCCCTCTCCCCAAACCCTCTTGAAGTTTCTAGCCTTGTAGACTGCAAATTTTGCTCTTCAACACAGGCAATTTGACAAAAATTGCGTTCAAAATAACAAGAATAAGCTAAAATGCTTAAAATATTCCCATTTCAATAAAATAGGCCATGGAAAGTAATGATGAAATTCAATCACACACGACATGTGTAAGATCACTTTGCCTTGTAAAATACACTGCTAAACCGCCGTGACATTTCGATATACCACACATTTCTGCCATTCTCTTCACATAAACCGACCTATTTTTCGCATCATGTAGCACTAAAGTTAAAGTTAAGGTTATCTGGGAAATACTATTTACAACTTATAACACCCTTCAAAGTTCAGGAACAATTAAAACCAAAAGAAATGTCAATTATGAAATAATTTTAGCAAATAAAAGTGACGCAACCTTAAAATAAAATTTAAAATCGAATACAGAATATTTTCGGTTTTATACCATTAATTAACTGAATTTTCTCCCGGAATAATGCAATTTCAGCAACAGTTAATTAGGTTAAAATGAAATTGATTAACTGGAACTAATTTGTTCCTCACTTGATCGAAATGGTGTTAAATTTGCAAAACAAATTAAAACAATTGCGCAATAGTAAGGAATTACATTAGAAGGATTCGGAAGAATTTCATTCAATTAATTTTACCTACACCAGTTGCTCAAAGAACAATAGGTTTAGTGGAATGATTTTATTGTCTTTAAAATAGTTTGTTGGAATAAAGGGTTTTAAAAAGTTAAAATGATTACTGAACAATAGATTATTTTGAAGAAATGTGGTTCTTGTAAATATTACTGAGAATCGAAGCAACTTTAAAATTTCCGCACCGGCCCAGGCTTCTTGAATACAAGGGTACTTGCATGTACAACTCCGTACTGGCTTAAGGGGTGATGTCCTTCCATTTGGACACAGCCTTTAAATAAGCGCAGTCTCTCCTTGTCACTGTCGGATATTCTGGATTTCACGGCCTCTAGACCATCCGCTACTGTGGCTGTTGTTGGAAGTTCTATGATCATCTTTCTGGAACCATCTGTGAAGTTGACTTCCATCTTATCAGTACTTTTACTCTTTTCTAGCATAGGGCTTTCACTGATGGGCTTTCTGTTGAATACGGACCTTCCTGGACGGTGACGAAAACCTCCAGGAATCACGATTGTTTTGGGCTCCATAGCGGTCTGCCATGGTCCTGGTGATTCTGGCCCGTTTCTATTATTTATTGAACTGTTCATTGGAGAATGTTCAGTGGGAAGTTGCGGCGAATTTCTGGATGGATACTGTTGTTCGGAGATCGGTGGAGGAATACTGGACTCAGTGAGTTGATTAGTTTCGGGTTCAGCCTTATCTGCTTCCATAAGAGTTGGTGAAGGCGAAGGTGGCAAGTCTGTGGCATACGAAGGTATATCTTCATTCGGCTCTTCGCTTTCTTCAAATGTGGGAAAATCTTCCAGAGCTTCCTTCTCCAAAGCTTCTTGTCGGTGGTTTCCTTGATAGGGCCTATCCAATCCATTTTTCCTATTCACTTCATTCAACCTACTGTTTTCTTTCTCATCCCGGTCTAAATAGCTGAAGACTGTAATCCTAGAGCCTTCTTTAACTTTATATTCCTCCAAAGTTCGATCGTCCTCCATGATATAGCGAGAAAACGTGAGAAAGTTGTTTTTGTCGAATAGCTTATCTTTGATTGTCTTTTGAAGCTTCTGTTTAAACTCTCCAACCGACCAGTTCACGCAAACAGGAATATAAATCATCTTTCCCTTGCCGAAGTCAACCTCAATATTAATCCGGATTTGTTCACCTCTTCGAAGAAAGAGAAGGACCTTACAAACATCACCAAAGCAGTAATTGGAAAAACGGTGGCCATCTTCCAGTACCTCGCCGTTACTTGCCAACGTCAAGTCGGATGGGGGAATATGAATATTCTGACTGATGATATGTTTCAAATTTTCAACGGTAAATTCCTTGTCGGCCTTTAAGGAAAGAATTGTGGTATCCAAGTGCTGAACCTCTACGAGCATTATAGAGCTAAACAGATATGGAATGAAAACTGAGGAAATGAAGGAGGGTTAACTTGAGTGCTCAAGGTTTACGGTAACTCGATTATCAAGAAATTATTAGAATGAATTCTTATTGGTTAGTTCACTAACCAATCCGAAATGGTTGCTGCTTAATAGTGAAATAGAAAAGTAGCATTCAATAACAATTTGCGCCATTTTAAAAAAAACAGAAACAATTTTTGATGACCGAGGAAAATATTTCAAGGATAAATTAACAATTTATATGGTCGACTTTTGAGTTAATTGAATTCCCATGAAATAGATTTGACAAATACATGTAAGGGAATTTTTCCATTTGCAATTATAAAGATGCACAAACACCACACCTCTTAGAGAAGGGGGAAGAAAAGCCAGACACATGAAAATAGACCTTTCTTGTGACAGCTAATGGTATAGGGCCTGGCTGTCTTTTCACTCAAGTTAATTTGTGTCATTTCAAACAAGTATAACTGGCATATGGGTCTAAGGTATGATATAACGCTAGTATACTGACTCTGTCTTCGTGCGCCGTCTTAGGAGTTGTATTTTTAAATTTCTCATCGAAATCAAGTACAAAATGGAATATGGGGGGGGGGGAATCGAAAAGAGAATGGCAGTGGAGTTACTTCACTTAATTTTCGGGAGCTGGTTGTTGAGCATTCATGTGCATGTGCAGTTTACTGCTTCATGTTCTAAAATTCATGATTCTTCATCTACAAAACCAATAAACTTACTACCGGGGTGGGGGGTGGGAGGAGTTCCGAAAATCCTCCCAGGGCGGTTAAACGGAAAATTCCGTTTCTTGACACTATTTGTGGAACCAAATAACCGCCCACCCGAATAAGCGCCCGAACGCTAATTAACGGATTGTTTAATTTGTGACATGATTCGTTTTGACTCCCTGCTGAGAAATTCGGACGCCGCCACCCCCTCTGTCATATAAGGCTTAACTAGAGTGGCTGACCCCCCCCCCCCACCCCACCAACTCGCTAATCG